TCTCTGTTTTTACAATAAGGTAGGTCTTCACAGCCATGCATGAATCACTTGTTCCATCATTATTAGAAACTAGTTCATAACTATTGGTGATAGAACAAATTGAATTAATATTATAAATTTATTGTGGCCTAAATATACAAAATTGGCTATTGTACTTCTGATATACTGTATTTAATACTTCATCTATATTAGTGAATAGTGATGACTGTTTTCTAGAATAACTGCGAAAACTGTCGTCATTATAAAACGAATGCTGTAGTGACAGATCATATAAATCTTAACTGTTTAATAATAGTACGTGGCTAAACATATACCATAATTACCATTAGACCTAATTCTTTTGTACATGTGGGAGGAAGAGGATTAGTTTTATTTGATGAGTTTTTAATTTGATGATGAGTATAATATATCAATAATTTTGAAATAAATTATTACTAATTATACCTTGTCGCGAAATTAATGGACATGGTTGGTGTGAAACCAAATGCGACGTATATTATGAGAGTGTGCACGGGTGGCCAATTTGTCTTCGTAATGTTATGTGTTAAGTCACTTTGCATAGATATGCCTACTTTGACTCTCGTCATTGCTCATTGTCTTTTAAATGCCGTTCCTACGTATGCTTACAGAAATAATTTAACTGAAGAATATATTGATCACAAATTATCCGAGATATATGATATGAATCGATGTGATTATTATGTTATATAGATTGCAATTAAATGAAGAAAAAAAGAAAAAAAAAATCATTGAAAACATGTTATAGTAGTTATTAAAGCAGTTATTGCAAAATCAAGAAGATTTTACAACAAATTAGTAATGGCTAATTCATATTAGTAGTGATGCATAAACTTTACAGATTTTGTAAGCCGTATTGTGCGTGAATCATATTAACTTCCTAAATCATTACTATTATATCGGATGTTTTCATTCGAATGAAATTACACATGTTTATATATATGACTCTATGAGTATATACTTATAAGATAAGATGATCAATTAATAAGGGTCCCAAAAGGAGTATTTCTTGACCAACTACACAAAATAAACAAAGGATAAAATTTGGACGTACATGTACCTTGTACTTGAAGATCCTTATTAGGTAAGAGCTTCATGCACACACCCTAGTCCACATTTCTTTTTTTTTTTTTTTACTTTTAATTTCTACTCAATTTGATGGCAGTGTTATTTTTTTTTTTCACTTATAGATAATCATATAAACAATCATCTTTGAGGTTTTCATGAAATTTTAAAATTCTTACATAGTAGTCTAAATTGGAGAATTCTATTGCTTATAAAATTTTTTTTATGGTAATTGAGTTTTTCTGAATATACAAAAACGAAATGTCGAATAGAGAAATATGTGCATCTATTAGAAATTGATCTTCAATATATAAAGCAAAACCGTGTTAAAATAATTGCATGCATGACAAAATAAAGAAGAAAATTAAAACCTACTCTTTGTCTTCTTCCTTCGTCTTTTCCTCCTTAGAATAGTTACAAGTCATCTCTGTCCCATGAATATATAAATACCTTCAAAGCCCTAATCTCGTAAAGTTTTGGTTGTCTGGTTTTCTTCTTCCATGCAAGTAAGCTCAATATGTACATATAATATAAATCTTGTTATTTTCTTCTTTCAAAGTCCTCCTGTAGGTCATTGATTTTGGAAACAAAACATTTGTAGAACGGTAGGATCGATGTCCTTTCGTATTCTTATAAATGGTGAATCTCAGACTCTTTGCTATGTATTTGAAGCAGATTTAAAAGGTATTCGAATTTGGAGTAAATTAAAGAAAATATAAAATGGAACAAGGAGATCATCAGCCGCAGAAGAAGGAAGAAGAAGCTTTGCCTCCGGGTTTTAGGTTTCATCCAACGGATGAGGAGCTGATCTCGTATTACTTGGTTAATAAGATCGCCGATCAAAACTTCACCGGAAAAGCAATCGCCGATGTTGATCTCAACAAGTCAGAGCCGTGGGAGCTCCCTGGTACGTTAATTACTATATAAATCTTTGCTTCGTACACACAAAAGATCACACATGTATACCTATATGATATGTATATATTACATCTTTTTTTATATGTGTGACATGTGTATAATTATATATCTATGGTTTCTTGATCAAAAAATATATTTATGATTTTATTCTCACATGGTATAATACCTAATTACGTAATTGGTTAAAAGATATCCAAAGCAACATTTTCATATTTTTTAGGTAATATATCTATATATATTTTTTAGGTAATTGCTCATATATGTGTGTTTCTTCTACTTTAATTAAGCATATGGTGTATACATATGTACGTGTAATGTGTTAATATGTACGTATATGTATATACTACATGTACACATATACAAATATACACATAAATGTGCGTATACATTTATAGCAGACAACATACGGATCTTGCTATCTTAGGTACCATCTAAAAATTCGTGACACCCACTAATTTTGTAGCTTTTGGCATGTTTACTTGATGTAAATGTGATAAAATCATGGTTATATTCTTGATTACTAATCGTAAGTCAGTTAATGTAAATCAAAATTGCACGTCGATTGTAATTACTTTGTATATGTTATATATCCCCTCCACAATATTCACAAATCTTTTCTTGTACTATAAACTTATAAACATGTGGTTGGAGTTGAGAACTTGAGACTATATATACGTACTAAATGTAAATCCATTAAAAACGTTTGATTTGAGTTCCGATAAAAAAGGCAAAAAAAACACGGTTATAAAAAAATTGTAGCTTACTCTTAAAATGGATACTCACACAAAAAAGTTTCCTTAAAAACTTTAAAAATAGTAAGCTTAAAGTTTAAAAAGTTTCCTAACAAAAAACACTGTAAAAGCGTACTCTTAAAAATAGAGATATTCACACAAAAAAGTTTCCTAACAAACTTTAATTAAATGAACGGAAGTCATGCATTCACTAACGTACGTACATTAATTTCTCATCTACTCGTTTTGTCTATAATTCATCCATAATCCAATAAATTAACATTATTTTTGACTGATTTCTTGTTCCAAACTGAACCAATATTAAGTTACCAAATTTGTCAACATTCCGCATCAAATATCACATAAATAACATATATATTAACATGGGTTACCGAAGCAAAGCTTATTACTTACTAAGTTACTAGCTAGCTAGTGAGATGTTATTTGGAAAAATAAAATAAAAAACGTTTAGTTACTTACCAAGTTTCTGTTTGAGTGAAATTTTGATAGAGAAGGCGAAAATGGGAGGCAAAGAATGGTACTTTTTTAGCCTACGTGACCGAAAGTACCCGACGGGTGTGAGAACAAACCGGGCGACCAATACAGGATATTGGAAAACCACAGGAAAAGACAAAGAGATTTTCAATAGCACAACCTCGGAGTTGGTCGGGATGAAGAAGACTTTGGTCTTCTACAGAGGAAGAGCTCCACGTGGGGAGAAGACTAGTTGGGTCATGCATGAGTATCGCCTTCACTCTAAATCCTCCTATAGAACCTCTAAGGTAACTCGTTTAATTCAAAAACCTAAATTAATATTTGGGTCTAGTATACTACAGTAAACAACCTATATAGAGTACTATCTTCTTAACAATGCATTTATATATATACTTAATTATATGCATATATTATAAATATGGTCATGATTCAAATAAACTTTTGTTTTGTTTTTAGTCAATTATATTAAGATCCAACGAGCTAATGTAGCCTAATCGTTATTCTAGTTCAACGCTGTGTCATCACCCATGTTCAAACCCATATAACGTTTTGTTGACAAACAAAAGTTAAGACATAATCGTGATCTTGACAAAATTATGGTATGAATTTTAATTGGTTATATAATACATTACAAAAATGGTTAGTATATATGAGTCTTGACGTAATTGATAGGATTGGATTCTATTAAATCACAAACTGAATCATTTGTTTCACAAGAATAATTTCTCATTGTTTTTCTATGGTGTAACATCTAATTAACATGCAGCAAGACGAGTGGGTAGTGTGTAGAGTGTTCAAGAAAACAGAAGCAACCAAGAAATACATAAGCAATAGTAGCAGCAGCACAAGTAATCACCACCAAAACCACACAAGAGTCTCAATGCTATCAAACAACAACAATAACCCTAATTACTCATCGGACCTCCTTCAACTCCCACCACACCTACAACCACATAACAGCCTCAACATCAACCACACCCTCATGGCTAACGCCGTTCACCTAGCCGAGCTCTCTAGAGTCTTCCGTGCCTCCACAAGCAGCAGCACCATGGACTCTGCTCATCAGCAGCTAATGAGCTACAGCCACATGCCTATCTCAGGGCTCAATCTCAACCTTGGTGGTGCATTGGTCCAGCCTCCTCCTCCTACGGTATCGCTTGAGGATGTTGTCGCGGTTAGTGCTTCCTTCAATGGCGAAAACGGGTTTGGAAATGTGGAGATGAGCCAGTGCATGGACTTGGATGGTTATTGGCCACCTTATTGATTAGTAATTGTCAGCAGTTTTATAATATGGTTTCTATATAATGTTGTTGGTTGGAGGAAGAAAGTTTCGTTTACTGGTTCAGGTTGGTAATACCTTTTTGTTTCGTATTTTTTTTGTTATTGCATTTGTCTTAGCTATTCAAGAATCAAAGACTAGTCAAACCAATTATGGTCTGGCTTTATGGTTCCTAGCAAATTCTTTTGCTTACAAATAAAAGAAAAAATGTACCAAATATCCCAATTTGATTTCATTCTACTATTTTAGTGACCATAAAAGTCTCCTGGTCCAGAATTGTTAATTGGATACGTGAATTTTGAATTTTTGAGACATTGCCTTCACCGGTTTAGCATCTTTCATGGTTTATAAATTCTCACATTATTTATCGTGTTCATGTTCATATGTAAAAATAAAATAAGAAATGAATTCATACTCTTCAAGTACAACATATTTTGTTGAACATAAAAATTCATTTTGACATTTGTAAGATCAACTGTATAAATTCATTTGCATTTGACAACTACGTTTAAAATGCTTAAAATTGAGTTCGATAAACATTTGAGACCCAAATATTTAGTAGAATCGGTTTAAAGGATAAGATGAGTAATACTAAATAGCTTTTAAATAGTAGTAGAGCAAAGTCCCAAATCTATCCACATGAATCACAAAATACACAAACCAAAGCCTTTTACTACATTTCTTCTAAAGATATGTCTAATCTTCTCTGTATAAAAAGACAGAAAACTTTATCCAAAAGGCATCTCGAAAAAGAGAGTGAAGAAACACTTTTGCACAGGGAGCTTCAACAAAAAAAAACATTAAAAAAAAAAACCTTTGATACCTTTGGGCTGTTTACACAACATATACCTGTTGCTAAGGCACAAAGAGACCGCATCAAAACCCGTCGTTGCCTGTAAGATTATAGAGACTCAAGGCTTTATGATCATTCCAAAGTTTTAACCTCAGTCACTAGTTGCTAATCGCTTCTACACTGTATAAGTGTTGAAAGCGTTTTGGATTTAACAGAAGGAACTAATGCATCAGTCAGACTCAATCTATGAAAAGTAAGTTGTGGCTCGGCCTATCGATCAATTCAGCAACCACAGATTCTTTATGTTCATGATCTGTTACTGGCGAGTATTTTAGGAGAAAGCGAGACGTACCACTAATATTTTCAGAGAGAAAATAGCACAAATCGTGTTACTTCACTTGTCGGAATGACCCCGTTTGGCCCTACGACGACCCTGATGGTGAGAGTGTCGGGTAGGCTTCTTTGTCTTTGTGCTGCAACAAACAAATTAAAGGTCATATGGTGGAATCAAGTATGGAGTAATTTCAAAAGCTAGAGTGCAATATACTCAAAACTAATATTAACATCTTCTAGATAATTGATTTGTTATAAAAGACTTGCCCGAATAGTGAACAGAGGAATTTGTACAGTATGTAGACAGGTAACGCCAACAAAGCAGAGGCCTGCAGTAAACAGTGTATTGATTTGTAAGTTAAGAGAGGAAACAACAGAGAAGCATGTTGTCTTAAGAGGTGCAAGACCAGAAAACATACTGTAAACCAAATGAACTCTTTGGTGGCAAAAGGTTCCAACAGCTCATGGTCCTTCAATTTTCTTTCGACATTTTTTTGAAGCTTCACAGTTATTACCATAAAAGTCAAACTTATTCTGTAATGGCACTATTCATATCTGAATACTACATATTATACAGTGACTCCGAATTCTGACCTGATGGTGATACGTTGTGGCAGATTTTAGAAACTCTTTGTAGTAGTGAATAGCCTTCTTTGTGTAAGGCTTAATGATAGCTCTCGCCTTATCAACATGTGGTTTTGTGGCCGTGGCCACTTGATCAACGTATGGCTTGCTAAACTTTTTAGCTTCCTGGGGAGATCATAGACACATTAAGCAGATATTTTAATCGCTCGATATAGCTAAAAGTTTAGTATCGACGTTAAAGAAAAAAAGTACTTCACCTGGTAATAGGGATCTACATGTTCTTGAAACTTGACAAAATGTGGAGTAACAGCACTCTTAGAAGCATGGTAAGCCTCTTTCGCTTTGGTAGATAGTGTTTGCACGTGTGGCTCAACATGAGTTTTGAAACTCTCTTTCATGGCTGGAATATGTTTCTGCAAATAGAATCTCATTAGCATAACCAAGAGAGCCTCATCTGAGTAATATAAGTGCATCGCCTGTAAGCGGCTTACAGTTTTAACATTAACCATGTGCGGTTCAGCCCACTTTTCAGCTTGAGTCTTGGCTTTCTTCACCTGATAGATAATCAAAACTTACATAGGCATAAGTTTCCTCACATGGACCTGTATCGCCATTTCCACTAGATAAAAACAGTACCTTTTGAGTTACTTTTTCCATAACCGGTTTCCCATGGGCATCCCAATGTGTCCCTGCAGTAGTCTGAGTCGAGGAAGTTCAGTGAAACAATCTCTAGTGTTGAAAAATCGTAAAGAGAGACCGTAATAATCTAACCTGAAGACTCATCCAGTGTACAGCTAGCCAAGGGGGAAGCCACGAGCCATGAACCTGGTCAGATAAACAACTCAAGTCTTAACCTTCTTCTCAAATTTATCAACTTGTCTCGAACAATGTTTACTAGAAGAACTCAAGCACCAAACAAACACGGTGTGGAGAAGTCACCTCCAGTAGTTCATTAGCCTTTGTGGCTGCCTCATGCCTCATCCGCAACATTTCTTCCTATGATTTTCATTTTGTATATTAAGAGTCAAAAAAAGCGATGGCAGGAACCGAAAAAGTCTTAAGAGGAACATAAACTTAATCCAAGAGCAACATCATACCTCAGAAATTTTAAGAGCACGCTCAAGTTTTCGTATTTTGTTCTTCTGCTCGTCTTTTGTCTTGTGAAGCTGTTAAAATTGGCAGAAACAAAAACGCACAAATATGATATATCTATCATGCAACTTGCATACAACTCCAAATATCTAACTTCAGAAATGATTCGAAACTGAGAAACTGAAGCAAGAACATACTTTCTCCAGCCTCGAGTTCAATTCGTTAAGTTTCTTCTCGGCTTCACTAGCTCGAGCTTCTGTGGATTGTTTCTCCCTGTTCTTTTGCTCCAGAAAGTTTTTAAGAACATCAACCTGAATGCAATCACAATACAAAAGTTAAGACTTCCATTTGCAAATGATATGCATATAAGAGATGAAGTTCTCAAATAAAGATCTCACCTGCTTCTCTAATTCAGCAGCTCGTGCATGAGCGATTCCCAACTGTTCCACAGAATCTGACGAACCTTTTTTCTGGAAACAAGTGAAACAAGAAAAACAATCAATGACTCAAAAAAAAACTGAAAGCAAGATTGATATAAAGCAATTGAAGTGAGACTATAAGATGCATTACTCTCAGTGATGAAACCTCAGTCTCCAAGGAGGAAACCTTATCTTGTTTCTCTTGAAGAAGCTTCTCCTTCTCTGCCACTAACACCTCTCTCCCCTTAAGTTCTCTGGTTTTGTCATCGATTTGGGATTCTTCACAAGAAAAACAAAATTGGTCAGAATCTTAAACTGACATCGAGAAAATGGAAGTAAAAAATCGAAATAAAGTGACGGTTAGATTCTCAGAGGAATCATCTTCAAGAGGCAAACAAAAGCTAACCTAGGAGACGGATTTTAGCATTTAGCTCATCCAATTTGATCTTAGAAGCGGAATCCACACCGCCGACGAATCCGGCGAGTGTCGGGTCATCACCGCCGTCGAATCCGGCATCGGAGAAGACACCGGTGGTGAAAACCAAGGCGAAAAGTAGAAACAATGCCACGAGCCTCGCGGCCGCCATGTCTGAAACTCGACGAGTTACAAAATCGGAAAGATGATCGCCGGCAAGAGGAATTTTTTTTATTTCTCTGAGTTTGTTTGATCAAATTGGACACAAAGATTTTGTTTAAGATTAGAAAATGAGAGAAGAGGACAAACCAAAAAATATCGAGAAGGTTTTTAAATTTAGGTGATCAGGAAGAACCCGAAGAAGCATGAAATGTGGTTTAATGGATGACACGTGTGAATGCTTCAGGATGACTATTTAATATCAAAAAGAAACTTACCCTCCTAAAAGTAATAAAGGACAGTGTGATCTCAATTTCCGGCCGACAAAAGTCACATAACCAATTTTTCTTTTTTTTTTTTTACGTCAAACGCATAAACTATACTCCACAAATACAAATGTTATGTTATCCAAGAGGAAGGATAAACAGATCCAGAAAGAAAGATATCATCTGGAGGGCCTGTTCCAGCTAGAGTATGAATTATATTATTATAATCTTTCTTTAGATAAGAAACTACAACATTTTAAAATTTAGACAATCAGAATTTTATATTCACGATTAAACTAGAGACACTTATATTTTCCTCACTCGTACGAAATAGATTTACCAAATTTTAGCAATCACCTTCAAAACATAGGTTATCATATCCTAGATTTCAAAAGTTTTGGATTACAGTTAAAAGTGCTTTGCTTTCTACCTCAAAGTTTAAAATAGTTGTACCTAGATTTAAAACACCCCAAAATTTACTATAACACGGATAATCCAGTCACTTGTAGGATGTTGGGTGTGGAGGTTGAAAGCAGCGTCATTATTGCATTTGAGAAAACCGATGAGAGACATGTCTATGAGCTGGTTTCAGTAGTATTTGGTGGTCAAAAGCATTCATCCACATCTGCACGAGCTTTATTAATATCCTTTTCGATTCTGATTTTATTTATTTTGAAAGATGAAATTGTTCCTTGATTTCCATATGCACCAAAAAAAACCCATAATGAGAGTAGTTTATCTATTTCTGACAATCTGTTAGTTGATTGTACATAAGTAACATTGCTACTCGTTCTTCAGTAGATTGGGCATGGCTCATAAGAAAACGAAAGGGTGTTCGTGATCTCCTCCATGTTAGCAAGGAGACAGGACAATCAAAGAAAAATGTTGAATTGTTTCTGCATGTATTGCAATACCACGGCTTTGTAAGCGCCTAGTAGTTCCATTAGCCTTTGAGAGGATTCACCAGAGAAAGTTTTTCATTTTTGGCATTCTGTCAAGATTCCAGATCTTATTTTTGAGGAATGGATCACCATAAAGAATTGGAGGGGCAGTCATTTGTACGTCAGGTTGATGTCGGAGGAACCTATATCCAGATTTCACTATGTAGTCACCATTTTTTTTATAATTCCACTGAATACGATCTTTTCTATCACTCTGGCCTAGATATAGTGTCTTGACGAGGGTAATGTCAGCGTCAGATAGTGTAGCATGCTGGGCATCCTCATCCCATTGTTTGTTATTGCCTTTTTTGGAAATCAAGTCTTTTACTAGAAGAGTTGTGTCGCTGTTTCCGTCTTCCTCAGGTTTTTGTGGATGTGAAGAAAGCCAATTGTTTGCAAAGACTTCTGTATCTTCACTGTTGTCTATAAGAACCCTAGAACCCTTTTTAATGAAATCGATGCCATGGAGTATAAAAGCCCATCCATAGGATTGGGATCGCCTACTTTTGGCATCGAACAAATGATCCTTAATAGCGAGCTTTATATAGCTTTGAAAATAAGCAGTGGGGGTGTTCTAATGCTTATCAAGTAAAGCGTCATTGAATTTTTTTAGATCCTTAAAACCCAGTCCACTTTCTTGTTTAGTATAATTTAGTCGTTTCCAAGCCACCCAAGGAATACTTTTGTTTTGTGAAAAACTTTTCCCACCAAAAACGAGTAAGGATTCTATTTAGTTCAGAGATTACCTGATTAGGAAGTTTGAAAACATAGAATACACGGACATGGTCATAGCAACAGATTTCATCAGAACCTCCTTTCATGCTGAAGATAAAGCTTAACACTCCAAGAAGATGTTATATTTTTAACTCGCTGGATGACGTTGTTGAACATATCTTTTTTTCTTCCGTCCAAACTGTTCAGGTAAGCCAATGTATTTACCCCCACCACCGTTGCTGCCAATCCCCATATAACACTTAAGTCTTTCACGTTTAGCACCTGGGATACAAGACCCAAAAGAGATCATGGATTCCCATGATTGATCTTTTGGCCAGAGCAATGTTCATATTTTTTGTTAAATTTCCTTAATAGTGGTACAATTTTTTTCATTTTGATGTATGCCTCAAGTCTAAATCAAATAAACCAGTTGATCAATGGAACCTTGGAGCTTAGGAGGGTGCAGCAAAGCTTGTAGCCGTGGGATTTGAAGGCCTTGTAGCTAAGCTTGGAGACACTAAAGACCTAACCACCATACACCGCCATTCTAGACATCATAAGGAGCCATTTGATTGAGCCAAACCCAAGCCGATTCGAATTAAATCAGAAGATATCTCACCTAAACCGTAGAAGATACCAAAGGAGCCGATTAAGGAAAGTTCGTATATATGTTATACTAACATATTATTCGACCCACTTTCATCATCTAATGAAGCTAAGGAGATCCACAAACCGTCCTTGATTCAACTCAAGCCAACATTCAACCAAGAAGACCCATTCAATCCGCCAAAACCACCAAACCAGCCAAGATATGCATCTGCAGAGTCATATAAGAAAACTATGGATATATGTCTAGCTAAGACATTATATTCGACCTTCTCTACGTCCACTGAATCTTACACGAGCCCTACCACACCAGAATAAGTCATCAGCCGTTCCCCATAAGTCAAAAGAGAATACCCCAAAGAAGAGCTTTCTTTAAAAGAAGATCATCATTCATATCAAAGGAGAATTAAGGATCAAGACCCATCAATATCTTTCAATCTCAGCCATCCATCAGTCTTAGAAGATTCATCACACTTAAGACAAGCCAAAGATTATTCCCCAATCCCACATTCGGCGCCAAAGTCAAGACCAAGCATCTTAAAGCCTAACGGCTAGGAAAATGGAGCCAAGAACAAATCCCATATTTTGTGCTTTCATTTACTTTAGTGACCGTTTATTTCATATTTTATGAGCAATATAAAAGCTCATATACATTGTACTTTCATTTCACCAAGTTATAATCAAAAGAAAGTTTATTTTTGTTAAAAAAAGTTATCTTTTGAATCAAATTCTGTCCCTGCTTATTATTAGTTCTTTAAGAGAGTCTTAGAACTTGTAAGAAGTGTAGAAACTAGTGTTCTTGTGAGGATTAGCCCTTGAAAATTAGAATCTAAAACCTTTGTGTTTGGGGTTCAAGCACAATCGGCTACTCAACCATTCAGCCTCTCACCCATCATCAGCTCAAAGCAAAGATTCAAAGGCACTTTACTTGAACCACATTTCAAGTATTGTATCATTGGTATCAGAGCTAAAAGCTCTTTATCCAGGTGTTTACAATCATTTTCTTAAGTTTTTGTTATTTTTTTCTATTCAGTTTTGAATTTCTTCTCTTATAAAACCCAAAAACCCATAAAAACTGTTTTATTGTTCATCTGTTTTCTGCAATGTTTTTTGCAATTTTGTTTTACAATTTTTAAAAATCCAAAAAAATATTTTGTTTCTTGTTTCTGTTAAAGTAAACTCTTAAAAACCACAAAAAAATATCTCTTTTGAATTTTCGATTCATTTGATAATTTTTAAATCATTTTTTCTCAACTTGTCAAAAGCTGTTTAATTGCTTGTTCTTGTATTTTGCTATCATTTAAACACATCTCTGATTTGTTTTACTTGAATTTTGCAAGGTAATGCAAGGTACCATGGGAGATAATGCACCAGCAGCTGATCCTATGCAAGCAATATTGGCTGCCATTGCCAATTTAAATGAGAATCTCAACACTTTCAGGAATGAAAGCTACACCCGCTTTGAGGGCGTAGAAGGAGAAAGACCAGCACCTCTCTTGCCAAGAAGAAATGTTAATGGCGTTCCCCCTGATGCAAATAGAGTAGAGATCCTCCTGATGTGCCACCACCAGCGCCAGCACCAAATCTAGCACAACAAGCTCAAGAAATTTTGAACAGGAGAAACAATGACAGAAACCGCCCCTACAATGAAGATAGGCATTTACCACCAGAAGTGAAGCTTCTAGCACCAACTTTTGCTGGAAAGCTTGATCCTGCCGCCTATCTAGAATGGGAAAGAAGGATGGAGCACCTATTTGAATACTATGCTTACACGGAGCCTAAGAAGATTGCTATTGCAGTAGCTAGTCTCACTGGCCATGCTTTAGCTTGGTAGGACAAAGAAGTAGCTGAGAAGAGGAGGCTCAGATATCCACAAATCACCAGATGGAGTGACATGAAGTTTGAGCTAAACAGAAGGTATGTGCCTCCTCATTACAGATTTATTAAAATGTTTAGGTCTCTCTTTCAGGGTTTTAGGAGTGTGGAAGAATATTATGAAGAATTTGATCTTCTAAGAAGTCAACTAGCTCTAGAAGAAACAGAGGAGTCTTTGATGTCCCAATTCATGGATGGACTCCAAGAAAGAATTCAGAGAAAGGTGTAGATGCAGCCTTACCACTCATTACCAGAACTCTTGCATCTAACTGTTCAAAGAGAGAAGCAAATCAAAAAGAAGACATCTACTAGAAATCGCTCCAATAACAACAATGCAGCTTGGAATCAACAACAAGCTCAATAAACTCAGCAGCAGCAGCAGCAGCCAAACTCCAAGCCATTCATAGATAAAGGAAAGGGGATTGCAGTAGAATCACGTTTCAAATCCCATACCCAAGAGCAAGGTAAGTCTAGTAATTCAACTAGACATCATGACATTATTTGCTTTAAATGTCAAGGCGGGGGTTATGTTTCAAGAGAATGTCCAAACAAGAGGACCATGATTCTTAGACCAGATGGTGGATATGATTCACAAGATGAGGCTATGGCTGAAGAATCAGAAGAAGAAATCACTGTATATGCTAAAGTAGGAGAGTTACTGGTCATTCAAAGAGTTTTAAACTCTCAACCAGTTTTGGAGGACTTAGAACATAGAGATAATCTCTTTCACTCCAGATGTAGTATTCAGAACAAGGTATATCATTTAATTTGACAGTGGTTCTTGTGCTAATATTGCTAGTGTTTGTTTAGTAGAGAAGCTAGGACTTAAAGCTAAACCACAGCGAAGGCCATA